GTTGAAGTCTCCTACTATTAGTGTGTGCGGTTTGATGGCTGCCTTGAGTTTTAGCAATGTTTCTTTTATGTACGTGGGTGCTTTTATATTAGGGGCATAGATGTTCAGGATTGAGACTTCATCCTGATGAACTGTTCCTGTTATGAGTATAAAATGCCCCTCTCCATCTCTTCTGATTGATTTAAGTTTGAAGACTACTTTGTTAGAGATTAGTATGGCCACACCTGCTTGTTTCTTAGGTCCATTTGCTTGATAAGCCTTTTCCCAGCCCTTTACTCTGAGTAGATGCCTGTCTTTTTGAGAGAAAAGGGAGAAGGGGAGGATGGGGGGAACTTGGGGGAAAAGGATGATTGGGATAAAGGAAGGTTGGATAGGGGAGCACGGAAGCACAATTCTTAGTTAAGGGAGCCACCTTAGGGTTGGCAAGAGACTTGAACCTAGAGTGGCTCCCAGGAGCCCAAGGCGATGTCCCCAGTTAGTTCCTTGGGCAGCTGAGGATAGGGAACCTGAAATGACCCTATCCTAGAGCAATACTGACGAATATCTTGCATATCACCATAGAACCTTCATCTGGTGATGGATGGAGAGAGAGACAGAGACCCACACTGGAGCACTGGACTGAGCTCCCAAGGTCCCAATGAGGAGCAGAAGGAGGGAGAACATGAGCAGAGAAGTCGGGACCACGAGGGGTGCACCCACCCACTGAGACAGTGGAGCTGATCTATTGGGAACTCACCAAGGCCAGCTGGACTGTGACTGAAAAAGCTTGGGATAGGGCCGGACTCTCTGAACATGGCGAACAATGAGGGCTGATGAGAAGCCAAGGACAATGGCACGGGTTTTGATCCTACTTAATGTGCTGGCTTGGTGGGAGCCTAGCCAGTTTGGATGTTCACCTTCCTAGAGATGGACGGAGGCGGGAGGTCCTAGGACTTACCACAGGGCAGGGAACCCTGACTGCTCTTTGGACTGGAGAGAGAGGGGGAGAGGAGTGGGGAGGAGGGGGAGAAGGGGGAGAGGAGGGGGAGAAGGGTGGGAGGAGGGGGAGGGAAATGGGAGGCTGGGACGAGGCAGAAACTTGTTTTTTTTCCCTTTTCTCAATAAAAAAAAAGAAAAGATTTCAAAAAAAAAAGAAAGTAAATTAGGTGTGAAACTTTTGAATCATCAAGATAGGATAGATAGTAGAGTATTTTCCCTAAATTTGCTAAATATAAATGTACTGAATATTGTAAATATAATTCTTCTTGATAACTGTTTTTACTGTATGTAGTTTAACAATATTAAAGTTAAGACCTTTCATTTTTATTGAGATACAAAGGGGAAATGTGGAATGTTAGATGTGTTACCTTTGTTTATGCTGTGGACTATTTACTGATGCAAGGACGCTTATTTGAGCCTGAATGCCTTCAAATACTTCTGGGTGTCCAGCTGCTTTGAAGAGCTCTCCATGGTGCCCCCATTTCCTTCTTAGACTTCAGATCTTGCTAGAGTCTTGGAATATTTCAGGCACAGCAGGTGTGATCCTATCCTTAAAGGTGAACTCCTTGGCAAAAGTGGAAATGTTTTAAGGTAAACAAACTGAACTGTTGTTTTGAGGTATTTGCTATTTTGTATTTAATATTCTGGTTATTAGCTATTCACAGAAATATGGAGCTTGTTGGTATTATACATTTTGGCTGTTTCTATAGATTATGCTTGTAGTCTATTGACAAGAGTTGTGGTAATTGAAGTCAGAATGGCAAAGGGCAACCAAAAATTAACAAAAAATACGGGAGAGGAACTGAGGGAAAATGTAATATCATGAGCAAGAATGGAGACATGTGAAGTTAGTGTAACAAATGTTATATTTTATTATACTTATGTTCATCATCCAAGTTTACATTCTCCATTCCTTACTAAGGTCCTAAGCCTCCTCCACCCAAGCTGTTCTCCCTCTCCTGTGCTAAGTATGTTAGCTGAAGGTCGGGTACAGTCTCTAACAGAAATCTGTTTTTGAAGGTCAGAAACCTGGGGGAGACTTTTCAGACGCAGTGTAGATCAAGGTGGTGTCTCCCCATTCATACAGAACAGAGCATTGCTTTTGATTTCTGCTTATATACTGCCCAGTGTGTGTCATGGAGTTCTAGGTCTGTGTCTCCTTGTTATGAGATAGTGATGTCCCTAAGTTCTGTTTTTCAGGAGCACTGTTGGGTGTAGTTTTATTGACTAAGCTATTTTTACAGGTCTAAAAGACAATTTTTTTACTATGCTCATTACAATGAGGCTTCTGATGCACAAATATATTTGACCATGAATAACTTAAAATATGCCAGAATGCTTTGGGATTAATGATAATTTGGCATATATGGGAAAAAATAAAAGTTGTATATGTGCAAGTTACTAGAAGTAAAGTTATTGAAGCAGGCATCTCAAAAACATAACTGATATTAAAGGAGGGCTTCACTAGCCTTCCCGTCCTGTTTAAGGATAAGGAATAACTTTGTCATTATTCCCTCATTGGGTTTAATGGAAGCGGAATACTTTATGCAGTCTATCATGGCATCTTAGGTGGGCCCTACCAAAAAGTTCATAGTCTAATAATTATGGTGTAAACAACTTATACTTTTAGTCTTTCTAAATATTATGGGTTCATTGTTTCCACGCACAGGAAGACATCTCATACTTCCTTGTGAAGATTAATACTTAGTACCTGTTGTAGTCTGCATATAATTGGCTCGGAGAGAGTGGCACTATTAGGAGGTATGTGTTTGTGGCCGTAGGTATGGACTTGTTGGAAGAAATGTGTCACTGTATGGGTGGTCGTTGAGGTCTCATGTATGCTCATGCACATGTGGTGTCCCCAACCACTTTGTGTCACCAGTGGGTCTAGATGTACAGCAGCATGTCTGTCTGCACTCCACCATGTTGTGCCATGATGACAGTTTCCAAACCTCTGAAAATGTGATACACCCCAATTAAGTGTTTTTTGTTTATTAAGAGTTGCCATGTTTATGGTGTCTCTTCACAGCAATTGAAAACCTGCCTAAGGGCAGTGCAAAATTCATTACCCTTGAGAGAGGAAATATGAGAAACACTGTTAATTTTCCTTTTGGTAGCATCATATTATGCATTGGTTTGTGTACCTGCTCCTAAGGTGTTATTAATAGAATACCTATTGGTCCACTATAGCCATTCTTTATCAGGTACTTGATTATAGGCATGGTTTCTCTCTTTTTTTTTTTTTTATTTTTTGAGACAGGGTTTCTCCGTAGCTTTTGGTTCCTGTCCTGGAACTAGCTCTTGTAGAACAGGCTGGCCTCGAACTCACAGAGATCCGCCTGCCCCTGCCTTCCGAGTGCTGGGATTAAAGGCGTGCGCCACCACCGCCCGGCTGGTTTGTCTCTTAAAGGAACAGGACAGATCATTACATTCCCATCTCTCTCTCTTATTTTTTTAATAAAAAGGCGGGAGACTTGACCTAACTGCCTGAGACAGACCTACAAGATTTGCTGTTTGCCCTGATGAATTTTAGTCTTACGTTGTTCAAGTTTTCCCTAGCTGTTTCCATATTCCTTTCTTTCCTTTTTTAAATTTACTCTTTTCTCATACAGTACCTCCAACTGCAGCTTCCTCTCCCTCTACTCCTCCCAGTCCTCTTCACTGCTTCCTTCTCCACCAGATCCACTCCTCCATTTAATTTCAGAATAGATCAGGTATCCTAGGGATATCAGCAAAGCATTGCATAGCAAGTTACAATGAGACTAGACACAAACCTTCATATCAAGGCTGGATGAGGCAACCTTGTAGAAGGAAAAGCATTCCAAGAGCAAGTAAAAGAGCCAGCGATATCTCCTCACCAGTCCCACTGGCACCAAAACACCAAGCTACACAATAACTTATATGCAGAGGACCTAGTGCAGACCCATGCATGTTTACACAATAACTTATATGCAGAGGACCTAGTGCAGACCCATGCATGTTTACACAATAACTTATATGCAGAGGACCTAGTGCAGACCCATGCACGTTCAGTGATTGCAGTTTCAGTCTCTGTGAGTCCCCATGAGGCCTGCTTAGTTGATTTTGTGGGCTGTGTTCTCCAGTGTCCATTTTTATGTTAGGAAAATTTTTGACTTAATTTTTAAAATTTTTTTTCTTGACCTTTGAGCTGTGATTCTTCTTTTATTCCTATTATTCTTATTTGTTCTTTTCATAGTGTCCAGATGTCCTGGATATTATATTTCAGAAAATTTCTATTTATATCTAATATTCTTTGATTGCTATATCTATTTCATTTATCATACATTCAAAGCCCAAATTTCTGTTTTATGTCTTGTATTTTTAGTGGCATTTGCCTCTAAAATAATAACCTAGAGTTTTTCATTTCCAGAATTCCTTTAGTTTGCATTTTTAATTGCTTCTATTTCCATTTTCTGGTCTTGAATAGATTCGTTCATTTCTGTCAACTGTTTGTTTCTTTTTTGGCTTTCTTTATATATTCTCTAATATATATTATATTATTTTTCTTGCTTTTTTTATAAAGGAATTCATTTACTTCCTCCTTAAGGACCTCTATCATGTTTATAAAGTTTATGTTAACTTAATTGCACTTCAACTGTGTTTGAATATTCAGTGTGTTCTGCAGTAGGATTGCTGGAATCTGGGTGGTGTCATATTGCTCTGTCTGTTGTTGATCATGTTTTTATGCTGGTGTCCAGGTATCTGGGTTTGAGGTGATTGTGGGTATATGTGCCAATTTCTGTTTGTCTTTGTTGCATGGGTGGTTTTTTTCTTGGTTTATATTTGCTGTCTGGTAATCTGGTCTGTGAAGCCTGTGGTTGAACTGGGGTTCTTACCCCAATTTGGGGGTTGAAAGTCTTGTAGTAAGTGTGGCCTTTGTTCTAGAGGGGAGTATCTGCCCAAGGAGATTGGGACTGAAAATTTGAAGAGGGAAGGGAGCTTGTGGATAGTGTTGAGGGTGCAGTGAGAGCATGGGGGAGGTCTGGGGGTGGGTGGCCTACATGGACTTCTGCCAGATGGTTTGTCTTTTGAGCACAGGGTCTCCACCCATGTTGCAGGCTACAACATAGGGAGAAGGAGGGAAGTGGAATTTGGGATAGTGTTGGTGGTTTTTTTTTTTTTTTGAAAGAATGTAAGAGGTCCATAGGCTAGTAGCCTATGTGAATTTCTGATGGCTTCCATGGCTTCTGGTCCGGCAAGTGGTCTTTGCCTCAGTTTGCCTATTTGTTCTTCTTGCTGGTGTGGCCTGTTCTTGTACAGAGGCTATCCATTCAGTTTGTGGGGGAAGAGCATGATGTTAGTGGTGGTAGCTATAGGGCTGGCTGGGGATTGTGTCTGGGAATGTAGTGAGTGTGTTAGTTTCATAGGTTGGCGGACTGCCTACCTGTTTTTCTGACTGGGATGATATGCACATGGGCAGGGATTGTCTGCTTAAGATTGGGACTGGAACACAACCATATTCCTCTTTTTTTTCCTAACGGAAATGCATCCTGTGCCATTGCATGTTGGAAAACCTTAGTTTGTTTCTTGATTTTACAAGATGTGTCAAGAGATTGTCTTGAATGTCAGAAAAGTTTTTGGACATTTGTGTTACATGGGCTATTACAGATTGTGAGGATCTAAGAACTTAGACTAAATGCATTTTCATTTTCTCTGTTTCTCTTTGTATTTATTCCTCTGTCATACAAAACACCCTGGCTGCAGCTTTTGCTTCCTCCACTCCTTCCATTCCCCCCAATACTCCTTCTCCTAGATCCACTGCTATTCTATTATCCTTCAGAAAATAGCAGGACTGAAAGGGATATCAAACATACACATAATTATAATCTGCAAAAATGGTAGGTACAAATGCTTATCAAAGCTGAACAAAGCAAACCAATAGGAAGAAAAAAGCCACAACTGTTGAGAGAGGGCCCTTGTTATGTCCCGGTTGCCCAGCTAGCTTACACCTGAAATAACCACACAGAAATTGTATTAATTAAATCACTGCCTGGTCCATTATCTCTAGCCTCGTGTTGGCTAACTCTTACATCTTGATTCAACCCATTTCTAATAATCTGTATGTCACCATGAGGCTGTGGCTTACCGGGAAAGATTCAGCATGTCTGTCTCTGGTGGTTCCATGGTGTCTCTCTTTGACTCTGTTTCCTTCCTCCCAGAATTCAGTTCTGTCTTCTCCACTTACCTAAGTTCTGCTCTATCAGGCTGAGCAGTTTCTTTATTGATTAACCAATGAAAGCAACATATAAACAGAAGGACCTCCTATACCACACAAGAACTGGCCAAAGAGTCAGAGACACCAAAATTTCTACAGTTGGTAATTACACAAACACTCAAAGCTAAACAATCAAAGCACACATGCACAGGGCCTGGAACAAAGCCGTCCAGTATCCATGATTTCCACTTAAGTTCTGAGCCCCTATGAGACCTGTTTAGTCGATTCTGTGGGTAAGGTTCTCCTGGGTTCCTCAAACCCTCCAGATTCTGCAATTCTTATTGCACAGGCTTCCTTCCACAGGCTTCCTAGAGTTGAAGCTAATGTTTGGGTAGGGAATTCTGTATGTGCAACCGTCAGCTGCTGGAAGAAGCCTCTCTGATGACAACGGTGCTAGGAATCAGTCTGTGATTATAGATGTGAATCATTTCATAGATTTTTTTTTCCTGGTCAGTTATATTTGGTTCTACCCTAATTCTGAAAGCCAACAATTTCTGGTTCCTGGCCATCCAGGCAGTATCAGACATTGGCTTCTTCACACAGCTTGGACTAAAAGTTAGACCAGTCATTGGTTGGTCACTTCAGAAACTCTGAGGCACCTTTGCCCCAGCATATCTTGCAGGCAGGACAAGTGTGGTTCTAATGTTTAGTGGCCGACTTGATGTCCCAGTCCTACCATTGGGAGCCTTATGTGGTTACAAAAGATGGCTCTGTATTCCTCATTACTAGGAGTCCTCCATAGTGCCTTCCTTATAGGTGCCAGGAAGTTTGCACTGCACGGTTTTTACATCTCCTGCAAAACGCTCCCCGATTCCTGTCATCGCTCCCTCCTGTTCTCCATCTTTGTCCCTTCCTTACTCGTTTGATCCTTCCTGTTCCCATCCCCACCTGCCTTCACTGTACAAAGTCTATTCTATTTCTTCTTTCCAGAGAGATCCATGCAGCTCCCCTAAAGCCATTTTTGTTACTTAGCCTCTTAGCATCTATGGATTTTACTATCTTTAACTGTGATTACTGTGGTTGTACTTTACTTAACTGCTAATATCCACTTGTAAGTGAGTGTACTATATTGGTCTATTGCTTCTGGGTTGCCTCATTGATTATAGTAATGAACTCATAAAACTAAACAACAACCAAAGAACCCAAATATAATGGGGTACACCTCTAAACAGAATTCTCAGTAGAGGAATCTAAAATGGCTGAAAAACATGTGAAGAAATGTTCAACCTGACAGAATGGATAAAATCAATAATACAAGTGACAGTTAATGCTGCCAAGGACACGGACAAGGAGACTTATTGCTGTTGTAAGTGCAAACTTGTACAGTCACTGTGGAAATCAATATGTAATTCTCAGGAAATTGGGAGACAATCTATCTCAAGACCCAGCTGTACCACTCTTGGGCATATTCCCAAAATCTGCTCCTCCATCCTACCACATTGTCACTTGCTCAACTATGTTCCCAATAACCAGAAACTGCCGTGTCTGTGAGAGATTTTGTTGATTGATGATTGATGTAGGAAGTCCCTAGGAAAGTGGACCTGTGCTGGGATATGGAGCATTCTAAGTATAAGACAGTAACTAGGAAAGAGAGAAAGCCTCTAAACAGTCTGTGCACATGGGTTTTCCCTTCAATTGTTGGCTTGAGTTTCCTTCCTAAGCTCCCAAAATGATAGAGTGTGATCTAACATAATCAACCAAAATAAACCCATATATCGTCTGAGATGCCTTCAGCTAGAGGATTAAATCATAAAGTCATTAAATCAGTTAGAGGATTAAAGCATAAAAGTAGTTTAGAACAAAAAATGAAACACAAAAAGTGATTTTGTTGCAAGATAGAATCTGGGAATATTGACTTTTGGAAGACTTTAGGTGGCAGAAACAGAATGCTGTACATAGAACATAGACTATTCTTATAGGACCAGGAAAATGAAAATGTTAAGAGCAATGGCAGAAGTGGAGATTGAGATAATAGGATTTCAGTTAGAAATAGATAAACTCCATAAGAAATTAAGCCCAATGTTATTTGTGTGATATTTTGGTTCCAAAATCTTTCTGCCTATTCTCTGGAAATTTAGTAAGGTGAATTAAAAAATGATGGGCTAATTTCACAAATGGAATATTGAATCTGTTCAATGGTTTTACTGATGACTCAGGTGTACAGTGGGAAAAAATAAGTGGGGCAGAAATAATGAAAATGAAAAGGTAGTTTCAGATGGCAGTCATGTATTGAAACAGACAGGAACTTTCAAAGAGTTTATTACCATTACAGAGAAGACCCTTGCTTTGGAATGGAAGCTTGTCAAAGTGCCCTAAGGGTAAGACTCCATCCACATAAATCTTCAATGTAGGGAATTTGTGAGCAAAGTGATTCATAGTCTCGGGAAGCTACTTCTTTCAAAACCTTCTGCACCTGTGGTCGAAGCTCGTTAGTGTCCTTCACAATTAAGATATCACATTTTCAGCATCACCCATCATGTCTTGGAAATAAAAAAGAATTAAAATTTAAGATCATGGATTTTTACTTTATGGTTACAGTTTACCATTATTGCAGGCATCTGTGTTTGGCAGAATCAGAAGCTCAGTGAGGAGACAGGGAGAGTTGATTGCATGAAGCTGTGAGGATTGAAGCCTGGTGTTGTTGGTTGTTTCTTTTACTCTTTTCTCTGTTGAGGGCCTGCCACCCAGTTCTTAAATAAATCTTACACACAGCGACTTATTTTTTCTTATGCATGTCTGACCTTGGCTTGACTTGTTTTGACTCAGCTTTTCTTAAATTATCCAATGTACCTTTTCCCTCTGGGCTTTTATCTTTCTCTATTCAGTATTCCTTTCTTTATTTCTTACTCTACAGCTTGCTGTGTAACTGAGTGATGACCCCTGTTGTCCTCTCCTTTTCTTACTTCTTCCTTTTTTTCTTCCCAGATTTTTCCTCCCATTTATTCTCTTTGCCTGCCAACCCTGCCTATCCAGCAAGAGCTCAGCACTGCTCAGCCTTGTCTCCAGGCCTGTGTTGATTATTTATGACCAACATTTATATTGCTAATGTTTCTATTTGTCCATTTGTAACTGCTTAAACATGGAGTTTCTTTTTGTAAAATGTCATTTGTGTAGCAGTTTAAATTGGAGCATGTCAGATTTTGGAAAGATGAACACAGAACTGGAGTGAATATATTTGTAGGAACTTCAGTAAAAACCTCTTGAGTTCTTTCTATCTGTTTTGTTTGCTTTACTGATTTTTGCAATGGAGACAGGGTCTTAATGTGTACTTCCACCTGTCCTGGACCTGATTGCATAGACTTGACTGGCATTCAACTCAGAGACAAATATACCCACCTGTGCTTTCTGAGTGCTGTGCTTAAAGGTACAATACACCCAGTTTGTCCATCTTATTTTTTCTTTTTGTAGTTAGTAACTCTTCATACAATTTTTATTATGTGTACTCTGTACTGCTGATCTGGTTACTTTTCTCTCTGTTAATAGACATATCTCTTGTAAGGTGATGTCCCATTCAAAGGGTACAGAAACAACAGAGTTGACCCTGCAGTTTTCTTCTAAAGTGACTTAGTGATTACACTATAATGTTTATGTCATGGAATAAGAGATGAAATACCAGAATCATATGACTATACTCTCAAAGAAGTATACATTTACAATGTTGTCAGTATCATGCTTTCTGTTGTACACTTGTATGGGATATTTTAGAAGGCTGTGACCTATGATGATGTGCATATCAACTTCACTTGGGAAGAGTGGAATTTGCTGGATCCTTCCCAGAAGACTCTTTACAGAGATGTGATGCTGGAGACCTACAGAAACCTCGCTACTGTAGGTAAAAATGAATTTCCGTTTTGTTTCCAAATAAGGGGACAACTGTTCCTTGGTTTTTGATAATCTGTTATCTGAGAAAGAAGAATGAGGTGAATAAATAGTTCTAAGGTTCATGGAAGATAGTAACTTAAGTTTTGCACAATTTTCAATAATGTAACATACATTTTCTGGTACTCTATTTTAGGATACATTTGGGAAAACCATAATATTGAAGAACATTGTCAAATTTCTAGAAGACATGAAAGGTAATTTTCCTGTGCAAGCTAATAACAGTGTGCCTCTGATGAAACTGTAATGTGTCCTGGAAGCTTTACACAAGAGCAACAGTGTAAATAAGCATGGCTTTAAGTGTATTGATGATTAGTAAATTCTCACTAATCCATATACCTCAATTGCAGGGAGTTGAATTGCATTTGCAAGTCATTCTTCTAAGATACAAGCCAAGAAACAATGCCTAAATAGATATCACCATTTGAATCATAGCACCATGAAAGCTCTTCTGTAGATCTGCCAATCCATTAATTTTTTGTTACTCATAATACAAGAGTTATACGCATTGAAGAGATGATAAGTATATATACAAAGCCTTCTACTAAGCCAGTAGTCCATAGTACATCTTGTACTGTGCATATACTTGCTGTGAGGCAGAGTCAAGAGTCAAGGGCCAATTGTTGTAGAGGAACTTTAATACCTATACCAAAAGTCTTTGAGGAACAGAAAGTCAAATGTAAAAATCTTTTATTTGTAATTCTTCCTTTACTATGAATGCCATACAAGCATATGAGCATAGGGTAATGGAAAGATATAGTATACCTCTCTTTAAAAACAATTATAAGATAAGCAGTAGTCCTCATGTTGAGTATACTTGTTGAATTTGTTTCTCCTATACAAGTAATTGAATTTCCACCATCATGTTAAAACATGTGAAAAAAAAAACTTGTAAAAAAGTCCTATGAGTTCTAGGTCTGTGCAAATACTTCTGGGTGTCCTAATTCACTTAGCAAATGTAATATCATTCACAGTATAGGAGAATTTATGAATGCAAGAAAGATGGTAAACCTCTGTGTTTATCTAGTTCTCTTCATATAGAAAAACATTTCCGTAAAGGAGACCCATGAAATGAAGGAATTTACCATCACAGGTATCTTCAAAGATGCAAAATGACTCTTAATTGAAAAGCAAAGCATGAGTTTTTACAGGTAGAAAACCTTACTATCTGATTCCTCTTTACAATGGGAACACATTTTAAGATTAATTCATACAGTTATGTAGGTTAAACAGTATATTGAATGTGGTAAAGTTTTTACATGTGCCAATTATCCTTACAGGCAAGAAAGAAACCAAACTGGAGAGAAACTTTCAGTATATACTCAATATGTTAAAGCCTTTCCTTATGATAGTTACCTTCAAAAGAACGAAAGAACACAGACTGGAGAGAAACCCTATGAAATTAATCAGTGTGGTCAAGCTTTTGCTTATGTCAGTCATCTTCAAATGCATAAAAGAACATATGTTAGAGTGAAACCTTACGAATGTAATCAGTGTGGTAAGACCTTTGCACGTCATAGTCATCTTCAAATGCATGAAAGAACACACACTGGAGAGAAACCCTATGAATGCAATCAATGTGATAAAGCCTTCGCTCTTTATGAAAATCTTCAAAGGCATAAAAGAACGCATACTGGAGAGAAACCCTATGAATGTAAACAGTGTGGTAAGACCTTTGCTCATCACAGTAATCTTCAAATGCATAAAAGAACACATACTGGAGAGAAACCCTATGAATGCAATCAGTGTGGTAAAACCTTTGCATATCAAAGTAGTCTTCAAAAGCATAAAAGAACACATACTGGAGAGAAACCCTTTGAATGTAATCAGTGTGGTAAAGCTTTTGCACATTATAGTACTCTCCAAATGCATAAAAGAACACATACTGGAGAGAAACCTTATGAATGTAATCAGTGTAGTAAGGCCTTTGCTCGTCACAGTCATCTTCAAATGCATGAAAGAACACATACTGGAGAGAAACCCTATAAATGTAATCAATGTGGTAAATTGTTTTCACAACTCAGTAATCTTCAAATGCATAAAAGAACACATACTGGAGAGAAGCCCTATAAATGTAATCAGTGCGGTAAAGCATTTGCTCATCACAATACTCTTCAAACACATAAAAAAACACATACAAGAGAGAAACTGTATGCATGTAATCTGTGAGGTAAAGCATTTGCATGTCCCTGTAATCTTCAAATGCATAAAGGAACACATACTGGAGAGAAACCCAATAAATGGAATCAGTGTCGTAAGGCCTTTATGTGTCATAATAATCTCCAAATACATAAAATAAACCATTCTAGAGAAAAACTATAAATTTAGTCAGTGTAGTCTTCAAAAACATGAAAAAAAGTCATACTGGAATGAAACTCTATAAATGATTTCAGTATGGTAATATTTTTCACCTATATAGGAGTAAAACTTTTTGTGTGCACTCAATCTGATCAAGCTTTTGCATATTACAGTAGTCTTTGCATACCTGAAAAAGATACTGAGGATTTTTGTTATAAATTACTTTTTAAGATTCTTAGCAAACATGCAGTCATTTAACCAACAGCATTTATTCTGTAGAAAAATGAATTGACAGTGTCAACAATCTATTCAAGCTTTATGATATCCATTTTTATTTTGTTTGTCCCAGCAAACCAATGAACAAAACTGAATTCATGAATTTGTGAAGCCCTATGGGTAGAATAAAGGGCCAGTCAAAGAAACACACCCTGGTCCTGAAACCAGAGCCAAAGGAATACACTTTGTCCCTAAATCTATAACCAGTGAAAGAAACATTATCACCCTGAAACAGAGCCAAAAAGTTAAGAAGGGCAGGGGAAATAAACACATGTTGACACTCAAACTAGAGCAAAATAAACATGCTTTGCCCTTGACCACATGTGCATAAAAAAATCAACCAACCCCTGAGTGTAAAATCCAGCCCATCTCTGAACTTGTTCTAGCTCAAGATTGAAATCTGAGCAATTGCCACCCTCAAAATCTCCTTAGAAAACCTCTGGATCTAAGAAGCTCTATATAAACTGTGTGCTCTTTCAGTTGGCTCCTGCCCTTCAAACCTGGCCGAGACACCCACTTTCCTGGATTCCTCCTTCCCAAATGAATCTCGTGACTGAGTTTTGTGTGAAGACCTTATTTCACTGGAATGGGTCAGAAACTCCCTTGTGGAGATAAACTGAGATACAGATGATACCTCTGTGTGGAAATTCACTTAGCATAGAAGAGCAGAGAAGCAGTGAACACCTCTTACGGGATACTCCTCTAGTGGAGTGGAGCAGATCAGCAACAGACATCTCTGCTGGGCTGCTCTCTTAGAATTATGGAGCCCAGTTGTAGTGGCGCTCTCTCTCTCTCTCTCTCTCTCTCTCTATATATATATATATATATATATATATATATATATATATATATATATATCAGGATTGCTAGATCTAGTGGGGAGACCTTCCCCCACTGCAACACAAATCCAGGTATATTCTGAATTCCTGACAGTCAGGATTCCTTTCTCCTTATAGTTGTAGGTCTTCTGGATACCTTTCCTTCACAACTGTAGGTATTTCCTGACTCCAGACAGTCAGGGTACCTTTCCTTCCAGAGCTGGAACACTTGCACTGTGAATCCATTTAGTGAAGTTCATTTTGTAGTCCTTGTATTCCTTCTATGGTTTTTGTTCATCTTCTGTTGTGCCTTTACCTAGAGATAGGTATTTTTCTGCTGCAACCTGAAAGAATGGTGTCCCCATAATCCTAGTGTCCCATTGGTTCTTGAAATATCAGGCCATGTGCGATCATACTTTTCAAGTAATTGTGTCTGAAAGGGTAGTCAGTTGTTTCTGGTTTTGTCTTTCATATTTTTCAAAAATTCCCTTGAGATTTTGTTGTTTGTTCTTCATCCTGGCTTGGATGTCAGCAATGATTCAGGGATACATTTTATCTCATGATGCTCATGTGTTTGCTATATTCTCATACACATACACACAGAGAGACACAAACACACAAAGAAAAAAGAAAAATGTACAGTTAATGATTAATATGTACAAATTTTCCTTACAGCAAAAATACATTAATCCAAAGTACAAAAAATATTGCAAACTTAATGTCCAAGTGTAAAGGAATGTTTAAATAAATTTCTGTGTAGTTGAATGATGAAATGCAACAGACATGAGAAAACATTTTTAAAGAAATATTGGATTAAAGGAAATTATCATGATGTAATCAATGGGAGGGGAAATGGGCAAACCATCAAACATTGCATTTACTTCTGTCCTCATCTTATTTTTTTACAATTATTTGTCCCTTTGATATATGATTAAGTCTAGAAAATGCTGGAAAATTGTGGTGAGATACTAACTAACAGTTGCTTCCATTCTGGGCAGTGTGGTTACAGATAACTACTCTTTACTTTTTCAACAATGTTAGATATTTCTAAATAAATATGACATTGAACCAAAGAAAGGATGGTATTCTTTTTAAGAAGTTGGGGACACCTTGTTCCAGACAGATGGGCTCTGGTAGGGTGTAAGTGATGAAGATGGTGATGCAAGCTCAGCCATGTGGGAAGACACAGAGAAAGGGTCAAAAATAAAAATAGGAAATACTGACAGGGATGAATAAAATAGTTGGGGAAGGACATATGTGGGATAGAATATGTGATTTACCTATACTATTTGCCATCCTAGAAAAGGGTGAGGAAGAGGGAAGACTGTGGGCTTCAGGAGATTTCTTGGATGGGTAGAGATGCTACTGCCATCTACTGTGGTGCAAAAAATATGTGCAACAGAGGTAGCCTGTGCTGGGGAACTCCTGCAGTCAATAGCCTTTAAGATACCTTGGGCATGATCTCATGTACGATAAATGCAGACAACAAGTGTGTGCAGGCCTTCCCAGGGAATTAACAACAGAAGCTGAGAAAAAAATTGGCTTTGATTGAAGAGCAATTACAAGAGGCACATGTGGATTGTGTGGATCCTAATCTTATTTTTTTAACTTTTTTTTTTATTGAGAAAAGAAAAAAAAAACAAGTTTCCAGCTCCTCCCAGCCTCCCATTTCCCTCCCCCTCCTCCCACCCTTCTCCTTCTCCCCCCAATCCTCTCCCCCTCCCTCTCCAGTCCAAAGAGCAGTCAGGGTTCCCTGCCCTGTGGTAAGTCCTAGGTCTCCCCCCTCCGTCCATTTCTAGGAAGGTGAACATCCAAACTGGCTAGGCTCCCACAAAGCCAGCACATTACGTAGGTTCAAAACCCCATGCCATTGTCCTTGGCTTCTCATCAGCCCTCATTGTTCGCCATGTTCAGAGAGTCCAGTTTTATCCCATGCTTTTTCAGTCACAGTCCAGCTGGCCTTGGTGAGCTCCCAATAGATCAGCTCCACTGTCTCAGTGGGTGGGTGCACCCCTCGTGGTCCCGACTTCTTTGCTCATGTTCTCCCTCCTTCTGTTCCTCATTGGGACCTTGGGAGCTCAGTCCAGTGCTCCAGTGTGGGTCTCTGTCTCTATCTCCATCCATCACCAGATGAAGGTTCTATGATGATATGCAAGATATTCGTCAGTATTGCTATAGGATAGGGTCATTTCAGGTTCCCTATCCTCAGCTGCCCAAGGAACTAACTGGGGACCTCGGCTTGGGCACCTGGGAGCCACTCTTGGTTCAAGTCTCTTGCCAACCCCAGGGTGGCTCCTTTAACTAAGAATTGTGCTTCCGTGCTCCCCTATCCAACCTTCCTTTATCCCAATCCTCCTTTTTCCCCAAGTTCCCCCCATTCTCCCCTTCTCCCTTTTCTCTCCCCATCTCCCCTTACCCCCATCCCACCCCACCCCCAAGATCTCAATTTTCTCCCCGGCAATTTTGTCTACTTCCCATAGCCAAGAGGACAACTATATGTTTTTCCTTTGGTTCACCTTCTTACTTAGCTTCTTTGGGATCACCGATTGTAGACTCCATGACCCTTATTTATGGCTAGAAACCAATTATGAGTGAGTACATCCCATATTCATCTTTTTGGTTCTGGGTTACCTCACTCAGGATAGTGTTTTCTATTTCCATCCATTTGCATGCAAAATTTGAGAAGTCATTGTTTTTTACCACAGCGTAGTACTCTGAAGGCGTAAGTCACAAACAATGCCACACCAATTCGGGGTTATGATTATTAGGGTGGTATTTATTTAAAGGGGAAAAAACTTACAGATCACTGTCCCAGGCAACAGCCCTCTACGCAACCAGGAAAGGAGTCTAGTTGCCAGCGGAGCAGGAAGTGAAGAGAGAGAGGAGAGGGAAGTGGCCGCTTTTTTAAAGGGAGGGAAACCACGCCCCAGTATGCTGGTACCTCAGCGGTGATAGGCTGGAGGAGTGGAGGACCTCCCGCAACACCTCCCCCTTTTGTTTAAATAAGAGAGTTCTAAACCTACTATGAAATTATATACAATAAGTACAAATATCCTATTCTAACTAGCTTAGGTCTTGTATAATAAATAACTTGGCCAAGTCATGAGAGAAAGTAACTACATTTATATAGTCTTCAACCCCATCGAAGATCTGAGAAGGGAAATAATGTTACCTGGGTAATTAGGAAGTTCAGTAAAACAACTTCCAAAACATGCAACAAATTATAGAGACAACTAGCTACCTGGGCAATCACCCAAAGTCACATTAGCAGCGTTGAAGCAACCAACTTTGGCTAAGGCCTAACATAACTGACATACCATTTTCTAAGGCAAGCAACTTTTCAAAACTATCTTACCCTGTCTTGGCAGGATATGACAGTCCTGTTTTATCCATTGATGCATGCTCTGTATCTTTGTCAGTTGTTGAGGTATGGGCATTTCTTTGCCCAAACGCCAGTTCTGCCAAAAAGAAAGGCTCCAGGTGGAGTGTCTTTGGTGCTCAACATTCTCGGGAATAGAGTGGTGTTGCCAGGAGCAATTGTGTCTCACTACCACAAAACTCTGAGTTAGATTAAAGGCCATTTTCTACAGCTCTTTGAAGAAGTTGAAGATTATCTATCTATACTGAGTATAATCTCTATATATCTAAAGAACCTGATTAGTCTATTATAAATGACAAACTTAGATGACTACTAGTCTATATAATTCTCAATATCTATCTAACTTAAAGACTAAGACAATAAACGACTGTGAAACAAATGAGGACAATGACCTCCAA